CTTTACCCTTCAAAGTAGAGGCATATTACAAGAAATCAACAAATATTTACTTTAAATTGCCAGGCAAGAATTTTTTTTCCTGGTTGTCCTGTCACCTAGGAAGTTTTGCTTGTGTTTTTCCATCAAGGCCAAATTGAATGAGAATCTCTAGGGGCTCGGGGCAGGCATTGTTTTTGGAAGTGTTCCAGGTGATTTAGAGTTAACGTCAGGGTTAGGGTTTGGACTCAGTGTGTTGCTGAGAACTGCTGCCCCTCGTGGCAGCTCCATGACCTGTGGTCAGGCTTCTTTTGAGAGCCACAAGTTGTTCTAATTGTATGGATAGGTTAGAAAATAATTTGAACGGAATATAACATATTTTAATTTCATGTTGGCTTATGTGTGTCAGCTACAAGAAGCATGAGGTGAGTGCAGAGAAACACACATTCATGGACCAAGCCACAGAGGAAAACACGGTGTGTACTTTAACCACAACACACAGAGCACATGCGTGTGACCAAAATCCTAACCCAAGATGTAAATAGTGCCACTTCAGACACCTGGCAGCTGCCTCAGTTTATCCCTTGTAAGACACCCCCACTCACTGCTGGCTGCAGCTTTCTGGTGATTTTCTAACAAGTTGCAACCTTTTTGACAGACACAAGAGTGAACTTCAAGTCATCACATCCACCGCAGTATTTACGTATTTCTTAGCCCTTTGACGTGAGCCAAACTGGGTTGCCATTTTTAATAGTAACCCAACAAATCCTGGCATGTTTTATCCCTGGGTCTCTTTGCTCACAAGCTCTGTTCTTTCCACTTCTGATTTTGTATGGAAAAGTGATGTTTGGAAATACTGTGTGGTATAGTTGCAGAGCCTAGAGCCCTAAGCAAGGTACTTCTGCTAACGTGTACTGGAAAGGTGGAGCATGCAGGAAAAGAGAAAGGAAGCTAAACTGGATTAGCATGACAAATCAAATAAATTCAACCAAGTAAATCTACTGAACCCAAGGCAATAATTTGGCTTACAATTACATAATACTCTGAGATTTCTGGATCGAGAGAAATAAAAGCCGTTTTCCCAGTATCAAGAGTCAGGAAGGAAATGTAGATCAATAAATTAATGCTTGGGAAGTTCCATAAGTCTGGAAACTAAACTCATGTCTCCCCTATGAGTGCTTTAGTTTAATAATGTCACAAAGGACTACCAGGTATCTGACTGCCATCTTTCATTCTTTCAAATTTACTATTTGGTTTTGGAACCAATGCTTCTCTTGTTTCTAATCCAATACTAAAGGTTTGACTTCAGCCCTGAAGAGAGGGACACGGTGAGGTCTTTGTTTGTTTGTTTTGTGAAAGGTAGGGACTGCATGGCTTTCATGGTTTCTGCCTTGAGCAATTGTTCTACCCCCACTCTGGCCAGCTTGAGCTCTTGGGAGTATCTCACTATTTAAGGCCAAACTGGCAGCAGTGATTTCATTGAGAACCTCTGAAAGACAGTCCAGGTGGTCTGTTACCAAAACCCCAGGCCCCACTTGGGGGTTCATGGAAGAAGAGCCCCCTCAAGAACCCTTGGGGTCTGGCAGGGCCAGTGGAGGGGGGTTGGTAACCAGGTTGGCATCCAGAATGTGAGGCACCATTCCAGAAGCCCATCTCGAATGAATTCACACATATGTTGTGAAAGGTAAATGTATTCATTTTTATTTCTAAAATAACAAGAAAGAAATAT